CCCTCTTCTCTGGAGGGCTGTTGTTAACATTTTACTCGGGCATAGAAAAATGTCTTTGGGATGGTCTCGGCTTGCTTTGAACTCCCTAGTCATTATTGCAAAGAAGGTAACTCCCATGAATAGCAACGCTGTCAGGTGTGGGTTGAGCCTGAAAATCAGGATTGGTAGAGGAGGAGTTCTGCATCGCCCAGTGACAAGACAGGGCGCTGCAGCCTGTTCCTGGAACGCTTCAGAAAGGAAAATAGTAATTGTGCGACCGTTTTACAGGTGTTGCAGGTGGCCGCAGACGACGTCAGCAGGGCTGGATACGTCCTTAGAAACACTCCCCCGTGCTAACCTTGCACAAGGTCTGCCAGCGGAGTCCAGCAGTTCGTGCAAAGCATCTTCGTGTTGTCATCATAAACACGGGCCGATCCCCTGATTTTTAGTCATTGTAACAGAGCCATTCAACTCTACATTTTATATTATGTTTACATGATCTTGTAAAAAGTCGCAAAAAAAAAAGTTTAAAACTTTACTGTGACAATTCAGCAAAATTCTTGTGTAATCTATAGGAGAAGTGTTTATGTCAGCATAATAGCTCCAGTTTCAGGTAGCTTAAACAAGAAAAATACTCAGCCAAAGTATAATCTGGCTTCGGCTAATTTAAATAATTGCAGGCTTGTGGGGCCTTGCCAGGTCTTGTAATGCAGGCAATGAGATCAGTGATGATGTAGCAAGGGTAAGACAGAGCTGCCTCGATGGAAAGCTTTGTATGAGCTTTTAGTCTTTCTGCACAGCTCCATTAACAGACCAACAGTGACACAGAAACACCCATGGATATTTCTTTGTATGTCTCCATGAAGTTCACATACCATTAGCCGAAAACTTAAACACCTTACGTGAAAAAAAAGCTTTCAGTATCTCGCTTAACAAATTTGTCGATGGATAATGAATTGCTTACTCCTAAGTATTTTGTACATCCAGTTGTTCGTAATGTTGAATAAGAGTCTGAAGAAAGTTTTAGATAGCATTTTTCAGTGGGATGCTTAACTCTTTCCTACAGTTTTCTGACCTTTCTTGAAATCCTCGTTATTAGCTTTTCTGATCAGAGGCAGTTCTGTCCAGCGTCCATCAGTGTTATTCTTGAATTCAGAAACTTGATAAAAAGCCCGG